GAGACATTTTAACAAGAGAACATTTACAGTTGCGGTTAAATTATTACATGTAATTCAATGCAACCATGGATATTGCCTTCAATCAAATCAAATAATTACAACGTGTTAAGTAAAATACAAAACTATAGTTGTGTCTTTTAGTGAGTAGGGAGGGGGAAGCGGGGGGCGGGGGTTGTGTTTTTTAATTTACGTTTTGTCGTGACTCTACTACTTTCATATTGGTCTCGGGATTTACCGTATCCAGAGATTATTCGAGCCGAGTCACTTCCCGTTAAACACGCCCTCTTTATAGTGACGTCGATCTTCCGAGCGACCCCTCTCCTTATATGGTAAAGCAAGGACACCGTTTTCCGGAATGATGTCACTTGGTTTTATGTTTCAACAATCGGATTAGGATAATAATTAGGCAGCAGGATTAGAAAAATATCCTTAAATGTTGGCAAACTGCAAGCGTAGTGGAATTTGCATTTCATTTTAGGACAACTAACAAATTATTTTGTAATTAATGTGTTTAATGTACTAATTTTAACTATCGTATTTGTATAAATCGTCCAGTCATTAGTTGAGTGGGCAAACTTTTGTGCCCAAGTGCCACAATTGACATTTTAAAAGGGACAGGTGAGCCTGCTCCTTCGTGGAGGATGCTCGAATCAAGATGCTCATCTCTGGGTCGGGGCGGCCGTGTGTGCGTGTGTGTGTGTGTGTGTGTGTGTGGGTGTTTTGTGTGTGTGTGTGTGTGTGTGTGTGTGTGTGTGTGTGTGTGTGTAAAATATGTTTTTTGTTAATTGTTATTGTAAATTGTACATCAGACAAGTGTAAACATACAAATAATGTAAATGTAAGGTGGGCTGCTTTAAAGAAAACAACTGCTAATGGGAGCATACAGATATAAATATGTAATAGCCAAATGGAAGTATCTATACAAATACATTAAATGTTTGTAGTTGTGAATTTAAATCTATGCACAGTAACGCAATCGTGAATATATGAAGAAAACCCTTCAGGAAGTTGATTTACTCAGCCTTTGTCGCCCCCTAGTGTTTAATTGTGCTAACTGGCGGCTTTATTTGCATCACACAATAAACTAAATCCCTTATTCAGCCACCTGCACCCACTGTTCATAATAAAGTGCAGAGTATTATGAATTAGGGGAGGGTACATTCATGCTAAGAGCTTTTTTAATAAATAAAAATACTTTGACAATCAAGGAAGTTGAGGCAGACAAGAGTTAATACACTGTAGTTTAATATCCTTGCAAATAAGTCACCCAAAAATGGTTAATCATAAACTGTCACTTTACAGTTATGTAACTTCAATGGCCGGTTCAGTGTCGTTGCATCTAATTCACATTGACTGATGCATTAAAAAATGTTATTAAGCGCCTCAGATCATTTTTTTGCTGTTGAGTCTGTTCTATAACTTTATTGACATATAAAGTGTAATATGTGTGTCTAATTCATACAAAAGTGATTTATTGAACTTTTGGTCAAAAATGCAATTGTCTTTTCGCTATTGACAAATATTCTGTAGTGATTTATTAGTGTGTTAATAAAATGAAATGTTCCTTTGATGATAATGTCCAAAAACTTTATTGACGCATGTGTTCCTTTGATGATAATGTCCAAAAACTTTATTGACATGTTAAGTGGAATGAAAGTGTTTTAGTCAACTTTTACTGCCTTAATAAATGTGTCCCATCTTCACTGTTGTATTCTACTTCACATTGACAAATAATGTATTTTTTCATCAGGTTTACATACAAGTGCGGGCTTTTCTGCATTTGCATAACAGTGCAGCAAGTATGGTGTTATGGAATGTGGCGTAATAGCATGAGGGCTAGCCAGTTATTTTCCACTTTTGTCAAACATGTGAGATTACACAGGTGTCATAACTTGGCCTGACAAAAAAAAAAAAAAAATCCTCTAACGCTCATCATGTGAAGTTCATTTTAGAGAACTGTCCTCCTATCAGGGCGTGAGCTGGCTGTAAATCAACACGGCCTGATCGATACTTACAGTTATGGAATTTAACCGGCAGGTACTGTCCCTCGCAACTCTTGCAACAAGTTACAACATGCCTTTTTGTTATATGACACACCCACATCAAGGAAACAGGGAGAGACCATGGATTCATTTTAAACAGTTTATTTTCTTAAATATTGATGACTTTCAAACATAAAAAAATTATACTTATTACAAATGGTAAACATAAGTACTCCGAGTTGATCTTATATACATATAGCAATGAGTGAAACCCCATTAAACAAAGTCAATCTTGAATTTTCTTTCTAACTTCTTACAATAAAGAAAAAAAGTTGTGTTGTAACTCAAAAAGTTAGACAACGTGTCCACCCCAGAACTTGTGTCCAGATGCTTAGGAGCTGGCCCAATAATGATGATGAGCTGCAGCAAGCAAACAAGTCAATTGCAGGTTCATATCAAGTCAGCTCTAATACTGAATGTATTCTCCACTGATCCATGAAAAGCAAGAAAAATAAGTCTTGTCCAGTTGGACAACACAAACAGAAAGTACTTGTTTTGTTGCCATGTCCAGAGCAGCGCTCTCAAGGACCGACCTCATGGCACTGTGGAACTTGTTTTGCACAGCCCCCTCGGTCCTTCCTGCCAGTGTGGCGCAGTGTCATCCCAAACCAGGTGCAGGATTTTTTGATTAAACTTAAAAGTTTTGTTTTCCCCACCAGTTGGCGGCTCAGAAGGTCTGGAGTTGCTGCGTCAACATGAGCTGACAGCCGCTATTGACGTGGTTCATCACCTTCTGCTTGAGTTGCGCCACCTGCTCCCGCAGCATGTTGGCGGTAGACGCCAGTTCCGAGTTTTGCGACTTGAGGGTCTTCACTTTGTCCTCCAGCCGCGAGATGCGTTCCAGCTTCCTCTTGCGGCACTTGGAGGCAGCAATGCGGTTGCGCATGCGCTTGCGCTCGGCCTTGATGCGCTCTTGGCTCTCCATGTCAATGGGGGACAGCGGAGGGGTCTCACCCGGCATCTCGGGCACCGTTTGCGGCTCCTCCTTGAGCACGGTGAGCATTGGGAGATGGGAAGAGGAGGTGGATGAACAGGAGGAGGAGGATGGCTGTGCGTAAACCGGGAAGGACGCGCTTGGGGCCGTGGTAGTGTAACTCGGGACCGAGGTGGCGTAACTGGAAGACGACACGGTGCTGATAGCTGGCTGGAACGTGTTTAAATCCTCGTAAACAGGCGAGTCAGAGCGCATGGTGCCGCTGTACACGGCCACCCCGGCTACGGACGCCACCGGCGGCGGCGGCGCCGAGGGGACGCTCACCCCGGGCATGTGCTGGTGATGGAGCTCGGCCAGGGCGCGCACGAAGCCCTCGGCGAAGCCTTCCTGCTCGTCGGTGACATTCTTGGGGCACAGGAACTGAGTCGGCGTCGGCGTGGTGGTGATCAGCCCGTTGCTCGACTGGATGATGAGCCGCTCCAGCTCCGGGGAGGCGAGCTTCAGCAAGCCCACGTCGGGGGAGGTGAGCAGATCGCCGGCCCGAGCCCGGAGGTGAGGTTTCAAGCTACCGGCGGGGTCGGACAGGTTCAGCGTCATGTTGTGTTTGAGCGCCTTGGAGCCGCTGTATCCGTAGCCAGCACCGTTGAGCGAGTCGTCGTAGAAAGTAGTTTCCATCTTCGTATACATAGAAGTGAAACCGAAAAAAAGACAAATAAACGACTTCCTGGTTACCAGCTGACGTCCCAAAAAGTCCCAGCCAAAGTTCTCAGCACGCACTTTCGAAACTACTCAGTGTTGATGATTCAGTCAAGTTCTAAGAAATATATCCAACTCTCTGAATAAAAGAATCCGGGAGTAGTGTTTGTCCAACTTTTCCCAGCTTCTCGGTTCGATTGCGCTTCCCCCTACACGGTCGTGTATATACTCTGACTTGTACAAGCGTAGAGGCAAACCTTATGCCGCCGCTGACTGTCCGAAAATAGCCATGATGTCACGACAGGGTTCTCCCATTGGCTGGAGGGCGTGTCCCAGGGCGGGGCTACCCCGCGTTACCAAGGCGACTAACTCCCCACCCGCCCCAGAAGATTCTGAAACTCGTGGTGCATTGTGGGATGAGGTAATGCCGCGCGAGAGCGCCTGCGCGATGCATTATGGGATGACGTGTTGTTTTTGAATATCTGGTTACCCGCTCTCGACTGTCAGTGGCGCGGCGGCCTGCGTTCGGGGCGGCAGTGGCTTGGTCCTCCCATTTCTGCGTTTAATATTTGTTAAATCTTTTCACACGTACACACATATGTTTGTAAGGTTGTTAAAAAGTACCGTACCATCAATGTCGCCAACTGATTTGACTTTTGGACGTTTCTCTTTTTGTCAGGCTTTTTTTGCCAATTAGTGGTGTGCTGTGCGATACTGAATATTTTGATATCGACCCGATATATATACTTTTACATTATTGAGACAGATAATTTTAATGGTTTTCAAGTGTTTAAATGAAACTTCCTTTGTTTTTGTACCTTTAATAAAAGGACAAAGTTTGTTCACAAATAGAAAATTGTACTCCCACCCCCTTACATTATTGTCTGGATTTTTTTACACTGACCACCATACTATTCAGAAACTACTACCCAAAATGTATTTTTAAAAATCCCTTCATTACAATTCTTTTTTGATGTTTTCAATTGAAGAAGTTGCTCCAACTCCACAATAAATGTTGTATAAAATAATTTAAAACAATTCATTTTCAAATACAATATGTGTTCGAGGAATTCACAAAAAAAATCAATAACCCTGTCTTGCAAACCTACTTTGATACATCAACCTCGACTTCAAACCCTCCTGTGAAACCCTACGCTGAAAAAAAGGCTCAAAACCTTGTACATTCGTGACTTTTCACGTAAAGAATATTTAATCCTTGAATACATATTTTTAAGATAGAACCAGAAGAAAAACAATAAAAGACACTCAAGCAAGGCCCAGTGATATCATGGCCCGAGTGAGTTACGGCGTGCTGAGAGCCTCGGCGGCCAATCAATACTCCTACGTGATTCTCGCCAGTAAATCCCCGATTTTGATGAGTCTGGGTAGTTAGCGACGATTAATCGCCAACACCAATAAAGCCTTTCGAGCTACGGCCTTTTTTATGGGGCTAATTAATTAAAAGGAAGAAAGAAGGGACCTCGATGCGAACGGAATGCTTCATGTTCTCGGTGAAGGACGGAACAATAAGACATCGCTCCTCCTCGTGTGTGTGTATGTGTGTGTGTGAGTGAGCGCGTTTGATAATCAAACCCAATGATTCCCGTCTTTAAGCCATCACAGTAAATCTGGGAGGCAACAAGGGAGATTTGTCATGTAGTCCCGCCTTGGCGTTTTCATTATAAAAATGGCTGCCACCGCGTTTTATTATTAACGTGTGTGTGTGTGTGTGTGTGTGTGTGTGTGTGTGTGTGTGTGTGTTTTAAAATTCAAGTAAAGTCTGGAGGGCAGACAATGTGATGAAGGACAGGGAACAAAGAGGATAAATGGTGAATGAAAGGTCTAAGACAATCATGAGTAGCGGTGTTAGCATCAAGGTTAGGGTTCCAAAGAAGATTTTCAAATACGGGCTTGGGTTTCAAAGTTAGGGTTTTGAAATCGTGTTTAGCGTTTCAAAGTAGGGCTTTGAGTCAGAGTTAGGTTTCAAATTAAGTATCAAAGTCAAGGACAGGGTTTCAAAACAGGGTTTCAAGTCACGGTTAGTGTTTCAAGTTAGGGTCTTAAAGTAGAGTACAGTATCAAGTTATGGTTAGGGTCGCAAGGTAAAGTTTTTAAATCAGTTTCAGGGCTTCAAAGTAGGGTATCAAGTCAGGTTCTGGGTTTTTTTTTTTGGTTTGTTTTTGAGAACTTAAAAGTTTCAATTTCAAGTTTCAAGATGGACTTTCATGGGATAATCAGTTTTTTTTTTTTGGTTTTGTTTTCTAAATATGAACACATATACCGGTATACAGGTACTCTTTTTGTCTGAATGCTGAAGCTTTTCACCTTCTACTTTTTTTTTTTCTTTCCAAGATGGAACTCACTCTCCCACACACAAACTAACCCCCTACCCCACGCCTTCGCCCCCGCTTTCCAAGCGCAGTGTTCCTGCTTCAGCTGCATCCTGACCCAAGTTGATTCGCTCCGCAGCTTTTTCTCCCATCATGCCTCTCTCTCTCTCACCTCTCTCAACTCACTTTTTCATCCTGACCCTCCCTCGCTCGCCCCCTCCCTGCACTCCCCTTGCCTCCCTCCATCTTCATGATGACTTTCCCCTCTGTATTGTCCTTCGCGTACACCGCCCCCCACCCCTTCACCCTCCCCTACTCTCCCGACACACACACTTTGTCTTTCACTTATCTCTCTCCTGCGTTTTTTTTTTTCTCCCTCGTTCCTCTCCCTCTCATCTTACTCCTATCAGTGGCTGTCAGGGCGGCCGGATTTCCCCCGTGATGGAAACAGGCTGAGGGCCGACTCGTATTGTTTTTAAAAAGTTCTCGCCGCTGAAATCTCATGCAGATGCTCGTTGCTTTCTCTCACCGTGTATGTGTGTGTGTGTGTGTGTGTGTGTGTGTGTGTGTGTGTGTGTGTCGCTATGGTAACAGGTTGAACCGATAGCCATAGAAAGGAGTAGGACCAGCCAATACGGCCTCAAAATAAAAATCTCACAAAAAGATTTATTTTCCTGTTCCTATAATTTAACAGAGAATGCAAATGACGATGACTGACGCACTGTGGCAAGCACCATCATGTCAAAGCCGAAAGGTAAGCAGAGCTGCACTGACTTTCGTTGGACGCATTAGCTAAAATCATAAGGGCAGCACGGGTATAAAATTTTCAGGAAGTTTCTGGGGAATTTTGAAAATACAGCAGCGAAATACCAAGACTAAGAAAAAGACGGATCGAAAAAAGCGGCAATTGCCACTTTACACGAAGCGATTGAGATGATGGGAACACGCTGTGGGTCCAGGAAAGCATATACACATACGGGGACTTGATTGCTCCTTGAAGTTGTGTCCATGCACCACTTTCACACAATGTAGTGTGAGTAGTGCTGCATTCAGGAGTGAAGATGTTTTCATTGCCTTAAAGGGTGTTGACCTGGGAACTGTTTTAAATTGTAAAGAAGTGCAAAAAAAAAAAAGAGTCTGGGTAGTTAGCGACGATTAATCGCCAACACCAATAAAGCCTTTCGAGCTACGGCCTTTTTTATGGGGCTAATTAATTAAAAGGAAGAAAGAAGGGACCTCGATGCGAACGGAATGCTTCATGTTCTCGGTGAAGGACGGAACAATAAGACATCGCTCCTCCTCGTGTGTGTGTATGTGTGTGTGTGAGTGAGCGCGTTTGATAATCAAACCCAATGATTCCCGTCTTTAAGCCATCACAGTAAATCTGGGAGGCAACAAGGGAGATTTGTCATGTAGTCCCGCCTTGGCGTTTTCATTATAAAAATGGCTGCCACCGCGTTTTATTATTAACGTGTGTGTGTGTGTGTGTGTGTGTGTGTGTGTGTGTGTGTGTGTGTGTTTTAAAATTCAAGTAAAGTCTGGAGGGCAGACAATGTGATGAAGGACAGGGAACAAAGAGGATAAATGGTGAATGAAAGGTCTAAGACAATCATGAGTAGCGGTGTTAGCATCAAGGTTAGGGTTCCAAAGAAGATTTTCAAATACGGGCTTGGGTTTCAAAGTTAGGGTTTTGAAATCGTGTTTAGCGTTTCAAAGTAGGGCTTTGAGTCAGAGTTAGGTTTCAAATTAAGTATCAAAGTCAAGGACAGGGTTTCAAAACAGGGTTTCAAGTCACGGTTAGTGTTTCAAGTTAGGGTCTTAAAGTAGAGTACAGTATCAAGTTATGGTTAGGGTCGCAAGGTAAAGTTTTTAAATCAGTTTCAGGGCTTCAAAGTAGGGTATCAAGTCAGGTTCTGGGTTTTTTTTTTTGGTTTGTTTTTGAGAACTTAAAAGTTTCAATTTCAAGTTTCAAGATGGACTTTCATGGGATAATCAGTTTTTTTTTTTTGGTTTTGTTTTCTAAATATGAACACATATACCGGTATACAGGTACTCTTTTTGTCTGAATGCTGAAGCTTTTCACCTTCTACTTTTTTTTTTTCTTTCCAAGATGGAACTCACTCTCCCACACACAAACTAACCCCCTACCCCACGCCTTCGCCCCCGCTTTCCAAGCGCAGTGTTCCTGCTTCAGCTGCATCCTGACCCAAGTTGATTCGCTCCGCAGCTTTTTCTCCCATCATGCCTCTCTCTCTCTCACCTCTCTCAACTCACTTTTTCATCCTGACCCTCCCTCGCTCGCCCCCTCCCTGCACTCCCCTTGCCTCCCTCCATCTTCATGATGACTTTCCCCTCTGTATTGTCCTTCGCGTACACCGCCCCCCACCCCTTCACCCTCCCCTACTCTCCCGACACACACACTTTGTCTTTCACTTATCTCTCTCCTGCGTTTTTTTTTTTCTCCCTCGTTCCTCTCCCTCTCATCTTACTCCTATCAGTGGCTGTCAGGGCGGCCGGATTTCCCCCGTGATGGAAACAGGCTGAGGGCCGACTCGTATTGTTTTTAAAAAGTTCTCGCCGCTGAAATCTCATGCAGATGCTCGTTGCTTTCTCTCACCGTGTATGTGTGTGTGTGTGTTGCTATGGTAACAGGTTGAACCGGTGGCCATAGAAAGGAGGAGGACCGGCCAATACGGCCTCAAAATAAAAATCTCACAAAAAGATTTATTTTCCTGTTCCTATTATTTAACAGAGAAAGCAAATGACGATGACTGCCGCACTGTGGCAAGCACCATCATGTCAAAGCCGAAAGGTAAGCAGAGCTGCACTGACTTTCGTTGGACGCATTAGCTAAAATCATAAGGGCAGCACGGGTATAAAATTTTCAGGAAGTTTCTGGGGAATTTTGAAAATACAGCAGCGAAATACCAAG